ATTCCCCTTTGTGACCCCCTCGGCCTCGTCGTTCCCGGCCACAGGAATCCAGGAACCACGCGCCCGATTTGTCGTCTCGTACCGCCAGCCCCTGGAACGCCCACGACTTACACTTACACTGCGCGACGCCCTGTTTTGTGCCTGGCTCGGCGCCTCCTTTTGAGACTAGCCTCCCTTGCCCGATACTACCACCCTTCTTCTACCGACGCATGGAGATCATCTTGTAACCACACCTTTACACGCCAGGCCAGCTCGTCGGAGCGGCCCGCCATAGTCAGCCCCTCATGGACCCCCGAGACCAGACGTTCATGACCATCCACAGTAGGTCAAAGCAGACCGCGTTTCCCGGCCCGGGCTGACTCTAGTGCACTCTAGACCTTACCCCCGATGCCAACATCCTCTTCGCCTCCGACTCCATCTTCGACATCCTAGGCTACCAGCCGGACGAGGTCCGGGGCAAGTCTGCCTTTGAGTATTTCCACCCCGAGGAGGTCCCATTTGCTCGTTCCATCCACAGCCGAGGCGTCCTGCTAGACAAGGCGGCCGTCTTGCACTATGCACGCATCGTTGCGAAGAACGGCCAGTGGATGAGCTGTGAATGTTGTTTTACCGTTGTTCACAATGTCTTGGTCGCTTCGACAAGTATATACTTTAGGGGGGAAAGGAGCGAGAGTATGCACCGAACTTGTGGCTCGCATCTCTGCTCACCGCTAACATGTACCCTCAGGGCGAGCGAGGGACGCACCTCAAATCAGGCGGATATTTTCTAGCTCACCGAGAGACCCCCGATACCACACGCTTGAGCACCTATCGCCCCAAAATTTAAGATGCCTCCCGATGGAGCGGGAACCGCGGGCTGCCCTCATCCTTAACCGCTTTACTAGAAACCTAACCATCATGTACGCGACGGACGCCGTTGCTCAAATACTAGGGATACGCTCGGATGAGCTTCTCGAGAAACCCTTCTACGAGTGCATTCAGCCGAATTGTCTCGACGAGGCCGAAAAGTGCTTGGAGAGCGCCAAAGCAAACGAGTCGATCGCCTACCTCCGATTCTGGTACAAGGACCCGCGAATCGACCCTAACGACCCAGCCAATGAAGAGGATGTTGATGAAATGGAGGACGGAGCCGACGACAGGAGTAGCTCCAACGCGAGCGAGGTTGACGTTAAGGACCTAGGCCTGAGGAACAGGAACAGTTGCATGGACATCGACGAGGGGTCAAATTTCCGGACACGGGGTGGGGATGACGATGCTATGAGCGATGCCCATGGGCCAAGGTCTCGTCGACAATCACCCCAGACATTTGAGTTAGAGGCCGTCGTCTCGTGCACATCAGATGGACTTGTCGTAGTCCTGCGGAGAGCGCGGCCTCCCATTCCCGACCCACAACCCCCAGTGACACCGGCCGCCTTGAACTTTGAGAACGGCCTCTTCGCGGCACCGTGGGGCCAGCATCCCATCGAGCCCTATATCTCCCCGGACCTGCTCTACACATTCCGCCCGCCGCTCCTACCACAATACATGCCGCTACGAGAATGCGTCAAGGCAGCCGGCGGGCCACCACTTGATCGTATGTCCCCCCTCCCCATCCCATATCTAGCCGCGAAATATCTTGCTAATCATCGACTACAGAACTCATGCGCTCCATACGTGACGTGGCCGTCTTCGCATGGGCCGTAACCGGCATCAACCCAAGCCTCGCAGAAAACTACGGCCAGGGCGGCCGGCCCAGGATAAACAGCGGCGGCGGCCAATCCCCCATCGACGGTCTCCCCACATGGGAATCCGATTCCCGCCCAACCACCTACCCCCCGCCGGGGGACTTGTCCGCCGACCGGAACGAGTCGCCCAAAGAACCCTCCACCTTTAACCGCGGCCGCGGCAGCCGCAGCGGAAGCGGCCTGTACGCATCTGACCCCTCCTCCATCCACGGCTACCGCACCCGCCACGCCTCGCTCGACGAGAACATGTACGACACCGGCAGCAGCAGTCCGGCAAGCCGGGTGGGCCACGTCCCCGTACTCCTACAGTGGCGACGGCAGCGGCGCGAGGAGCGATGCCGGGAGCGCGCGGGGTTATGAACAGGGAGGCGGTGGCTACCACCGGCGCCCGCCCCTCCGCCCGGCGTTTTCGTACGACGCCCTGCACGACCACGCCCGGCACCAGCAGCAGGCGTACGCGCTCCGCGTCGGCGTCGGAGGCGGCGGCGCGGAGGTGCAATTTTAGGGAGGAGATCTGGCATGCGGTTGGGGGGGAGGCGGCGGCCCCGGGGAGGAGTTGTCTATCAAGCTATGGTGGGGCAGGGGTGGGCCATCGTCAGGGGGTTGTTGGGGGGGGAGGAGGGGCGGCCGTTGGGGGGGGTCTCCGAAATGGCCGGGGGC